ATGGTTCAACCTGAGAAAGTTACAGAAATTCCTTCAAGAGGGGAAAAAAATAAGAGATTTGAAAATTATGAGAAAAACAAATTTTTTCCACAATAACAACTTAGAAGAAATAAGAGAGAATGAAAGGAAAAAGGTATCACTGGAGAATGGGAAAAGGGAACATATAGACAAAAACAGAAGAGAACGGTAACACCATACACAAGGATAAACTCAAAATGGATGAAAGACTTCAATGTGAGACAGCAATCCATCAAAATCCTAGAGGAGAACATAGGCAGCAACCTCTTTGACACCAGCCACAGCAACTTCTTTCAAGATACATCTCCAAAGGCTAGTGAAACAAAAGCAAAAATGAACTTTTAGGACTTCATCAAGATAAAAGGCTTCTGCACAGCAAAGGAAACAGTCAACAAAACAATGAGGCAACCCACAGAATGGGAGAAGATATTTGCAAATGACACTACAGATAAAGGGCTGGTATCCAAGATCTATAAAGAACTCAAACTCAACACCCAAAAAACAAATAATCAAGTGAAAAAATGGGCAGAAGATATGAACAGACACCTCTCCAAAGAAGACACACAAATGGCTAACAGACACATGAAAAAATGTTCATCATCATTAGCCATCAGGGAAATTCAAATCAAAACCACATTGAGATACCACCTTATGCCAGTTAGAATGGCAAAAATTGACAAGGCAAGAAGCAACAAATGTTGGAGAGGTTGTGGAGAAAGGGGAACCCTCTTACACTGTTGGTGGGAATGCAAGTTGGTACAGCCACTTTGGAAAACAGTGTGGAGGTGCCTCAAAAAATTAAAAATAGAGCTACCCTATGACCCAGCAATTGCACTACTCGTTATTTACTCCAAAGACACAGATGTAGTGAAAAGAAGGGCCATATGCACCCCAATGTTCATAGCAGCAATGTTCGCAATATCCAAACTGTGGAAAGAGCCGAGATGCCCTTCAACAGATGAATGGATAAAGAAGACGTGGTCCATATATACAATGGAATATTACTCAGCCATCAGAAAGGATGAATACCCAACTGTTACAACAACATGGGTGGGACTGGAGGAGATTATGCTAAGTGAAATAAGTCAAGCAGAGAAAGTCAATTATCATATGGTTTCACTTATTTGTGGAACATAAGGAATAGCATGGAGGACATTAGGAGAAGGAAGGGAAAAATGAAGGGGGGTAAATCGGAGGGAGAGATGAACCATAAGAGACTATGGACTCTGAGAAACAAACTGAGGGTTTTAGAGGGGAGGAGGTGGGGGGATGGGTTAGCCTGGTGATCTTGTGTCTTTCATCAGTACCAGCAACACCAACACTGTGTTATTGATCCTTCGTTGGGGCAGAATAAATGAAAGATACTTAAACATTATCAATTGTATAGCTAAAAATACATGATTTGTTTGAACTCCCTTTGCACACATGTGCATGGAAAGTATGGTTTTGCAACTGATGTCATAACCTTGTGTGTAGGGACGCCTGGGTGGCTCAGTCGGTTAAGCATCTGCCTTCGGCTCAGGTCATGATCAGGGTCCTGGGCATCGGGCTCTCTACTCAACAGGGAGCCTGCTTCTCCCTCTCCCTCTGCCTGCCACTCCACCTGCTTGTGTGCACTCTCTCTCTCTCTCAAATAAATAAATAAATAAATAAATAAAATCTTTAAAAACTAAAACCTTGTGTGTGAAACAATCTGCATTTAGTTAGAACATCATGATTATCTGAACAGGGGTTTACAAAAAAAAGAGGCAGAAAAAATTGTTTATCAGTCAGAAAGTAAGATTATGATGATAAACTGAGTCTGACAAGTGAAAGAATTTTAATTGTAAAAATGCTGAAGTCTGAACAAGAAAGAGTGAGTTTTGTGACCAGCTGTGACACAGACCCCCGTCACAGGCACCTGAGGGCAGCTTGGAGGCACATGATTCCCGTTTGGCTATGCCCTGTTAGGACTATAAGAATTACTAGCATGGGGGCACCTGGGTGGCTCAGTTGGTTAAGCAACTGCCTTCGGCTCAGGTCATGATCCTGGGGTCCCAGGATCGAGTCCCGCATCGGGCTCCCTGCTCGGCGGGGAGTCTGCTTCTCCCTCTGATCCTCCCCCTCTCATGCTCTCTGTCTCCCATTCTCTCTCTCAGATAAATAAATAAAAAATCTTTAAAAAAAAAAAAAAAGAATTACTAGCATGACATACAGCTCTGATTACTACCCACAGCATGACGCAGAACCAGATGACCATGAAATTGGATTACCTTTCACGCTGCTCTTGATTTTTATTTAATTTTGTTCTTAATCATTGTTCTTAAATGATAGAGTTAAATGTGAGCTGTAGTCAAAAGTTCCTTTAGAGGGTTTTAAATAAATGCTTAAGATTAAATCCTTAGTCCTTTTGCCTATTTGTTGAATCTGAACATACCTGCACTTGGATATATAATCAACTTTGAACAGGAGGAGTCTTTCATTTTCCACCTACTGATTTTACTGGGACAAATTAAAACAGCAAACAATTGCTGTTGAAATGTCAAGGCTAAAATGTCACAGAAACATCAAGTTCAGTGAAGTTGTAGCTCCTGCTCGGAGTAGGCTGACACAATCATCAGTGTGTCTTTAAGGATGTGGATGTGACCTTACATTGCAAAGCTGCATGGCCGCAACCTTCACATTTCCTGTCACAGTCCTTGAGTCAATCCTCAAGCCCCCACAGTAAAGTGAGTTTCCATTTCATTCTTGAGTTCACGCAGGTAAATGGGTGGGTATATGCTCAAACTCAGAGATGCATCATCACATTAATCCGAGTCCATTCATCTCATTGCTCTGACTTTTTTTTTCTTATCTCTTTTCAAATAAAAAAATGCTTTACCCGCTGCCCTCCATTGCTTGTTGATAACTCAGAAAAGCACTCTGGTAAGAGTCAAGAGCCAGGCGACGACTTGGCCAATGACTGTTCAAGACCTTTTACTTCTTCATGCTTCAGTATCCCTCTGCAAAATGAGAATGATAATATCTGGCCCAATTCCACAGATGGCCAGAATAAAAGCACTTAAAATTCTTTGGAAGAAAAGCATAAGAATATTGTGACTTTAAAAAGTAAATGGCAAAAAATAAGAAAATGAACACAGCAAGTAAACAACAGAAGAAATTGTCAGTTGTGGGCAATGTTGTTACTAGTATTCTCTTTTCTTTCTTGTTATCTAGTCTCAAAATATCTTGTAATTCTATCGTGGCTGAAGTTTGTATGCATACTGCCAAATGCTGTAATATTCTTTAGGATTCAATATTACAGGGAAACATACAGGGATGGAATTCACCACTGAGAAACACTTTCATTTCTGTATCTGACTCCCCTCTCAGACTATAAACTCTGATATTTGATGAGAGCACAAAGCCTCATTTGTTTTGGTCCAAATAGCCAGATATGTGGGTGGATGCATTCTCCCAAGGAATGTCACCAAAGTTCACATCTGCTTATTCCACAACATGAGGCATCTGACCATTTGCCTATCTCAATATAGTGTGAAGCGCTTTTCCTACATGAAAGTAAATTGCTTCCATCCAAAAAAATGTATTGAGCATGAACAACATAAAAGGCGCTTTGCTAGGTACCATGGAGGATGTAAAGATGAATAAATCAGTTCTTGCCCTTATGAGAACTTTATAGGCCCACATTCTTAGATATAGATTTAGATTAAATTCTCCTCCCAAAACAGAGATCGTGGTGTTTATCTTTGTGTCCTCAGTGCTTAGTGATGTAGTTTGGCTAAATGAATGAATAAGCAGAAGAATCGGTGTTCTAAAAGATGTTTCCTGTTCTAGGATGTCAAACACAAGAAATCATTTCTAGTCTTTTCTCCCTCTGATCCCAGTTGCTTAAAAACAACAAAAGGATTGAAGGGGAGAAGAAGGATCTATCATAGAAACAAGCTAAAGACAAGGTGGACAAATGGAAACCAAGGAGGAAGAGATTGGGAGAAGGGAAAAGAAAGAGCACTATCTCGAAGGAATCAATGAAGACAAAATTTCTGCAGAAAGCTTAGGAAAAATTCACTTAATTCTAAATAATTAGAATATAAAATAGGCAATAGCCTTTGTGGGGAGAAAAATGAATTGGGTGGAAACTGAATTAAACACTAGAAAGGGGGGGGGGATGTTTCCTCTGATTTCCTGCAAGTGCCAAGCCACTTTGGTCAAAGCATGGAATCTTAAACAATGTTTCAAAGCATGTTACCATGTTATTTGGACAAAGAAGGATGTGAATGTTACCTAGCATAGATCCTCTGTCTGCCTGCTGCCTTCATTATTGAGGCAACAATTCCCAAACTCTTGGATCTCGGGACCTCCTTACACTCTTTAAGGCTATCAAGGGCCCTAAGGAGTCTTCACTTATTTGAATTCTATCTAACGGTATTCATCATATCATGTATTATTACAGAGATATTTTCAAAATGTCTCAAATCAAGACAACAAAGTGTACTTTTTTGTTGTGTTTCCACATAAACTCTAAGAAAAGTTCAAGATTTCAAGATAACTATTTATTTGAAAATAATGAGGTTATAGCTATCCTGACAGGTGTGATCAAAGAGAGCTAATTACAGAAGTAATGAGAACATATAAATTGTATTAATCTCTATAAAAATGTACATATTGAAACTTTAAGCCTACTACCATAGAACATACTAGAAAACAGAAGAATACCCATTCTGTTAGTAGAGTGATGACATCATTCACGTCAGATCGGCCTCTGGAAATTTCCACCCGACAGTCATGAGACAATGAAAGCGAAAAAGGCAAATCATGTCTTATTACCCTAATGGAAATAGTTTTGACCTAGGAGACCCCTTCCCAGGATCTTGGAGACGTCCCAAGACCTGGCGGGCCACAATTTGAGAACTAATGTAAGCGATTAATTCTAAAGTCACTTCCCGTTTCTTCTTACTAATAAAGTGTATTTTCTCTGATGAATATTTTGTTCTCATTCCCGAACCACCCTTTGAGAACCGCTGACCTAAGGTAACCACAAGACAGACCCCGTAGCCCAGTGAAACCCGAAGCGAAAAGCCCGCGGGATGCGCCCAGGGCGCTCCGCTTAGCACTGAGAACTGAAAATGCCCCCCGAATCCTCAAGCAGCGCCGGGCGCAGAAATGAGTCCAAAACCTGCCGCCAAGGCGGGGCCAGAACGGGCTGCAGCGGCCGGACTCGCCCGAGGCTCAGGGCGGAAGCTGCGGCGGCTCTGGAACCACCTGCGCACTGCCCGCCCGCCGCAGGTAGGCCGGCCCCCGGGGGGAGGAGCGCGGCCAGGTGCTCCCCAGGTAGCCGCCTCCGCCCTCTCGCCCCGCTCTGGGCCGCGGCCTCCCGGGATCACCGTAGGAACTTACCGCGCGCGTCCTCGCGTGGACCAGGCGCCTCTCCACGGACCCCAGGCGCTTCCTCCGCCCCAGCGCGGGAGCCTCCCCGGCCTCCCGGGATTGTCGCGGAGATCTGGGGGGCGCCGAGACGGAGGGTCCGGCGGCCGGAGGGACTACCCAACGACGGGGCTCCGGCCCGGGAGCTGCTGGAACATGCGCCCGGAGCCGCAGGTGCGGGGCCCGGAGGCTTGGCTCGGGCGGGGAATGGGTTCCTCGGAGGGGACCACCTCGGCGGACGCGGCCCGACTAGAACGGAAGGCAGAGGGCCGCCCGCGGCGACAGGTGCCCGCTCAGCCGTCGGCAGAGTCCCGGGGCGCGGCATTTGTCCCTAGGCACTCTCGGGCGCTCCGGGCGCGGGTCGGGACGGGCGACCGAAACCCGCGAGCCGGGCGCAGTCGGGCTGTTGTTAAGAGAGCGGCAGGTCGGTGACTCAGTACCCCCGGGAACTCAAAGTGCTGAGCCAGGGGCTTTTTTGACTTTTTCTTTTTGTTACTTTGTTTGTCTTAGTTTGTTTGACAGTTACCAGACTATGATTACACTGCTGGTTCTACTCAGCCAACTGCCCATGGTTACCTTCGCGTTTCCTCATTGCACAAGGAGTCCGAAGGAGCCCAGGCATGCTCGAGAAGAAGGTAAGCATGGCTGCGGTCTCGAGAAACCTCCCTGAAAAGCCGAGCCAGGTATTACAAATCTCAAAGGAGAAAGTGTAGTCTTTGAAATGACATGCCCCCATCAATCAAAGAAGGGTTACAATATCCTCTAGTTTAATTTGTGGTCTGCTTGGCAATGTTGTGGTTATGTTAGGTACAATTTATACAAATTTCTTTCTGTGAGTTATTTTTGATAAATATATATTTAAGACCTGGTTTGTGGTTCACTGAATGGAACACCTATTTCAACTTCCGAAAAACAGTGAGCACCGTTTTTCTAGATGAAGCTATGTGGTAAATATAATTTTTCTGGAAAGATGGACAGTGAATCCAGGATCTAGTCTGGACTTGTTATGAGACCCCAGGGCAAGTTACTTAACCCCTTTCTGCTTGAATTTCTTCCTCTGTAAAATGATGGGGGTGGGGAGTGGAACGATCCCTGAGGTCCTTTTTGACATCAAATTGTCTGGTTATCTGGATAAAGTCAGATGCTTGTGAAAGATTAGGTTTGGTAACCTAGAATTTCATACCTGTGGGTTCCAGGTCATAAACAGACTGGTTCCTGAGCCTGGGTGGCTCAGTCGGTTAAGCGTCTGCCTTCGGCTCAGGTCATGATCCCAGGGTCCTGGGATCGAGCCCCGCATCCGGCTCCCTGCTCTGCGGGGAGCCTGCTTCTCCCTCTCCCACTCCCCCTGCTTGTGTTCCCTCTCTCGCTGTGTCTCTCTCTGTCAAATAAATAAATAAAATCTTAAAAATAAAATAAAATAAAATAAAAGTCTAACCTAGAAATCAGAACCAGAAAAGAAAAAAAAAATGGCTTTGGCTTCAGCATCCTTCTCCCTGCCTGGTCATTGTGCTTCCCTATCCCCACATTCCTGTCCCTTAATCCTTTTCATCAGATCTACTCTCAGCTCATTTTCATTTAGGAAGGATCTGTTACACTAATATTCCTGGGTAACTTATTAATGATTAATACAGCTTGGTGTATTAAACCTTCCAGGAGGGTGTGTGTGTGTTTGTGCATGTGTGTGTTTTAAGATGGGAAATCTTAACCCAAAGGAACCAAACCCTGATGGTAGAATTCTAGGCAACTGGATAAGCTAGCTAATGAGAATAGGGAGAGATTTTGGAAGGAGAGCCTTCTTGTTACCTCCCAAGTTCCACCACATATGTAAGTCCACTCATATATAAAACTGAAGGTCCATACTCAGTGGGACCAGATGCTGATCCCCAGTATGCTGGTGAGTATATTCATTGATTCACATAATGCAGACATAAAAGACATTCCCAAGGACATCACAAATTATGGAAGGAATTCAGAGATCATACTTGAGTGCAGATGGCTGGAAATATCTGTGGGAAATGTAAATGAGGAATCCTATCTATTTTAAAAGCTGACTTGCTCAGTTAGTAATCACTTTATTAACACATACTATATGCCAGGCCCTCATCTAAGTACTGTGGATATAGCAATGAAAGTCTATAATCCCTGCCCTGAAGAGAATGGAGGGTCAGTTGGTGGGTTTGAAATAGCAGGATGCACAGACAGCCTCTTAGGATGGCCTAAAATGGGAGAAATAGAAATGGGAAGAGAACTTGAGGAGGCACATATAAAAGGACTAAAGACAGTGTATCCTCCATCAGGGGCGAGAGGGAAAATAAGACTTCTCACTGGAAGTTCAGGATGCTCCCAGGACAAGGAGGTTTGCTTTTTTGGATAACAAACAAATTCAGAGTTACTTAGGATCCCAGTAACAAAGGACAGTATTTCTCCTAAGATCAAAAGGGAGGCAGGGAAAAATTTCATAAAGCACCGAAGGCCTAAAGTCAACCCCTGACTGAATCAGAACTTTCACACTCAGGGAAGTGATACACAGTAGCTCCTGGAGGGCACATTTAATTCATGGGTGAAGACTTTTACTGGCATAAGTATCATTTCAGGAACAATAAAAATGTTTATGATTCTCTCATTCTTCTTTTCCTTTCAAGTTGAAAGTAGTTCTATTGAGTCCCATCTGGAGGGCACAGAGTATTTTTACAACTCACATAACCTACTTGAAGGGAAGACCAACAATGAGAAATTTGGCACAACTTTCTTAGCCAATAAAATGTAAAGATCTGGCCGTATCTGAAAAGTAGCAATACAGAAGCAGATTTCTAATTCTTCTTCTGAAATTCGATTCCATGTAGTAAATATAGCTAAGTTAGGCAGGCCATGAGTTACTTCATCACTGGTTTAGTATTTTAAACCTACAACAAAATGAGTAATACCAGACTATACCTATGAATTGCTTTAACTGGTAGAATTTAGGTCCAAGAATTTCTTTCCAATGTAGAAAAATGGAGTTCATTTACTCATTTAGTAAATCATTTTTTGAGCACCTCATATGTGTCAGGCACCACGTGTGTGTGTACTTTAGTGGAATTTTTCTTCTAGTGAGGGGAACAGAGTGGTCACAAGTAAGTGGTAACACATGCAGAACACACCAGATGGTGGTGCACGCTATGGAGAGAAACCAAGTGTAGTAGGGACAGGGAGCACCAGAGGTGGGTGGGTGGGGATGAGGTTTCAAGGTAACATTGACCAAAATCCTAAAGGAGGTGAAAGAAGAAAGTTCTATTCAGGGGAAACAGCCAGTACAAAGGCAGGAGAGAACCAGGTGCACTGGAAGTGTTTTTAACAGCACAATGTTAAAAACAGACTGTAGGGGAGCAAGGCAACCCCTCAGAGGGCCATGATGAGAATCCCAATGAGAGGTGAAGGTAACTTGGAAAATTGTTCATTTTGTCTCCTTTTGGTGACAAAGTGCCCTCTGCCCTCCCCCCTGTGTGCATGTGTTCTCTCTCTCTCTAAAATAAATAAATAAATCCTTAAAAAAAGGTAAAAAGAATTGGTAAAATTATATATATATATTTATATATTTAACCTAATCCATTATATCCAAAATATCATTTCCAAATACAAGCAATATGAAACATTAAGATATTTTACTTTTTAATTAAATCTTCAAATCCAGTGTATATTTTACATTTCTAGCACGTCTCAGTTCAGACTAGCCACAGTTCAAGTGCTCAATAGCAATATGTGCCTAGTGGCTACCATATTGAACAAAACAGCTCTATAAGATTCAGACCGACCTGTTTGGAAAAGTGATTGACTAGTGGAAAAAAATATCTTGGACAAGGTGTGACTGTTCTCGTGGGGCTAAGAATAAATGGCCAAGCTGAGGTCATTCACAAATCAGAATTAGTCTTTCAGGCCATGCTCTCTCATCAGTCCTGAACTGTCTTTCAATTGCCCACTCTAATATATTCTTCCTTTATAGTAATGGTTAACAGTGCAAAACACCAAATTCTTTTAAGCATTTGATGTAGTTTTCAGAGAGTTTCTGAATTCCAGTCTTGGTAATGTGATCTGGAGCAAGATTTCTTAAGCATTCTTTGTGTGATACCAGAATGAGTTTAAAGTTTGTGGGTTTTGAAAATACTGCCATGGTGGGATATTTTGGTTTTGTGTTACCCTGTGCTTAACTCTATTGTGTTTACCATTTACCTTCCCAGAAAAGGTAGAGGGAGTCTTATGAAGCATTGTAGACACATCTTTAGGGGATGGGGAGAGAGAGGCAGCTACTTGTTTAGGAGGGGCTGAATGTCTGTTAATTAACCTTATAATTACCTTATAATTTTATTAACTTAGAAGTTTAAAATTTTATAAGTTTTTAGTATAAACTTGCTCTAAAATTTTTAACATAAATCAATAATTTTAAAACATAAAGAGATCTTAGTAATTCTTTAGTTCATTTATCAATTTTACAAATCAGGAAATGGCAACACAGAGATATAAGTGATTTATCCCAGATAAACCATCAATATCCAAGCCAAATCACAACCAAGAATCTCTGTCTTCTCTTAGACCAATACTCTATCCTTTACACCAGACTAATTTTTCTCAGTCAAGATAATAGAGAGCCAACCCTTTAGAAGTAGAAGAGTCTGACCTGTCACTTCTTGGAAATACTGTCTAGAGGGAAAAGTGATATTTAAATAATTTTCATTTATGCTAATAACTTTGGACATAACCAACTCAAGTATTTTCTGGGCTTATGCTAATATTTGTATGTCATATTTAACAGACGTTATTTTTACTGATGACATTTCTTTTTGTCAGAATTTAAAATCATACAGGGAAGCCTGGGTGGCTCAGTCAGGTGGGTGCCTTCAGCTGCCTTCAAGGGTTCTGGGATTGAGCCCCGAAGCCTGCTCCCTGCTCAGCCAGGAGACTGCTTCTCCCTGTGCCCCTCCCCCACTTGTGCTCTGTCTCTCTCTCTCCCTCAAATAAATAAGTAAAATCTTAAAAAAAAAAAAAAAAAGAATTTAAAACCATACAAAAAAAGTTTGGCATAATTTTACATCAAGAGAATTATTCAGTTCTTCCACAATTAAAACAGGAATGCTCTGCCCTATTTTTATCAACCTTTGAAATCTTTCTACTTCTTTATTAGTCTTCACAGCAAAAGAAGAAGCAAACCTTTTCATACATAGACACCTGCTATATAATAGATTTGATTTGGAGCTCTTCACTCCCGGTGACCTAGAAAGAGAGTGCAGAGAAGAAATTTGTAATTATGAAGAAGCCAGAGAAATCTTTGTGGATGAAGATAAAACGGTAATTTGGTTGACAATGTTAATTGGCTGGAAATTTATTAAATCATACTTAAGAAAATGGCACATTAAGTCATCAGAGATTTTATGCTTTAAATAGAATCGAGATTTTATACCTGTTATCCCTTTCTACTTCCTTAAAATGCTAACAAACCTATTTAGACTTGGCTTTATACTTAATTAAATGGACTTAGAGTAATTGGCAAATTATTGATTGTGTTGTGATTTTGTGTGTGTGATGTTTATTATATTTAAAAACAATCATGAAGTGGAATGAATTACATTTTAGGATACTAATTGAGTTAGTTCTCTGACTCAGGCTTCAATCATTCTAGACTCAGAGCAATTTTTCCTACCAGTGACCTTATCTTTTCTGATTACTGTATTTATTGACAATCTATTATGTGCCAAGTCCTCTGCCAGAGACTGAGGATATAAAATATACAGTCTCTGCATTCAAGAGTTTATTGTTTGGTATATCAGTGTAATTTAAGGGAGAAACTTTTAGAAGTTCTCCTTTGAAATGTAATTAAATCCTGCCCATTAATCTTGGAACAGTACAAAACAAACAGACAACACGGTCCCTGCTATAATCTGGCATATTCTTAAAGAATACTGAGTGACTCAAATTCTTTACTTTTGTAAATTAAATAAGCACAGCTCCTTTTCCCCTTCCTCAAGAGTTCCACTTTACTCTTTGGTCAATAAGACCAAGGAACTCTAGGTATCCTTCAAATACAGGCATTAATGGAACTTAGTTCTTTTTTCTCCCAAAATTGCGCCCAGCTTCTCATTCCCTGCTAATATCTGCCACATCTGCTGGAGAAGGAAAACAAGGTCTATACTTTGTAGCTGTGCCCGTTGAAATTTTATTCTGTTTTTTTGCAAACGCATTTTATGATTTTATCATGGTTCCTTAAAATCTGCTTCATTCTCTCAAGTAACATTGAACTTAAAGAATCTCAGGGATGTCTTTCCCCAGATCAATCCCTTTCAGTACAATCTCCTAGCAAACCGAGGGCACACCGAGCGTAGAAAAATTCAGAGTCCTTTTCAAACTTGGTAATGGGTCCACTGCTTTAGCCTCCGCCTTTGGTGTTGTCACCGACTAATATGATGGTTTCACTGTATGTCTGAGCGGGGACTCTGAGCAGGTGAAGGGAGAGTGGCAGGGGACAGTAGTAGAGACCTGGCACTGGCAGTCATCCCCTGACCAATTCCAGAGTCAGGAGAAACAGTGGTGGGTGGCAGTGCTTAAATTAGAGTGCACGCCCTCCAGCTTGAATAAACTAGTATCCTCTGTGGCACATGCCAAGAATTTACCACCCCAGTCCGGGTCATTGGGATCACATGAAATGATAACAAAACAATGAAATAAACTTGGAAATTTTACCTTTCTCTTAGATGGCGTTCTGGCAGGACTATTCCATCAAAGGACCAACCACAAAATCAGGTAAGGCAAGAATGGATGAAATTTAATCTTCTTCCCACCCTCTCTCTATTCTAAATACATCTTAGTTTCATTGTTTGAGTTTGGTTGTTGCTCAACATACATGCCTTGTAAATCCAGGGATGATTTCTCAATTATACACTAGGCTATCTAAAACAGAGGAAGCCACATTCATCTTTACACACTGAAAATCAAGTTTGGTGAGATACTAGGGAAATGAGATAATAGGCTTAAAGGTGTTTTAAACCACTCAGCTAAGTCAAGACTTGCACAGAATAAAAGTAGGACTCCATTAGTTCCAAGTAGTAAGCGATTTTAATTATTTTTTCTTTTTTACCATTACAAGTAAATGGAATACTTCTGCTACTAGGTAAATTAAGAGTGTTAGAATTAAGTAAGTTCTATAGAGGGGAGATCTTTACTTATCTGTATTATCATCTCTAGCTGCTTTTTATCAGGTCTTTTTTTGTCAGATCTTCCTTCATTCCCATCAGGTAGAGCCCCAGCTACGAGGAGACTTTATTACATTGCTAGGCTAGTGTTGCTTAGTACAGTTATCTGTGTATTTAATACCAAAATGTGCCTAGTTGAACAAAGAATATATTATGCTTAGTCTTTTTTTTTAAGGTTATTTATTTTTTTAGTATCTCTACCCCCATCATGGGGCTCGAACTCATGACCCTGCAATCACGTTGCATGCCGTTCTGACTAAACCAACCCAGACATCCCAGAATATGTTTAGTCTTGAATACTATCCATTTAATATGACCTATTTAAAGTAAATGAAACTTGGGGGTCCCTGGGGGGCTCTGTCGGTTAAGCATCTGCCTTCAGCTCAGGTCATGATCCCAGGACTCTGGGATCGAGCCCCACATGGGGCTTCCTGCTCAGCAGGACAGTCTGTTTCTCCCTCCCCTCCCCCACCCGCTTATGCTCTCTCTCGCTCTCTTTCTTTAAAAAAAATTTTTTTTTTATTTATTTATTTGACAGAGACTGAGAGAGAGCACAAGCAGGGGGAGTGGCAGGCAGAGGGAAAGAGAGCAGCAGACTCCCTCTGAGCAGGGAGCCTGATGTGGGGCTCAATCCCAGGACCCTGGGATCATGACCTGAGTGGAAGGCAGATGCCTAACCAACTGAGCCACCCAGGCGCCCCTAAATAAAATCTTAAAAAAATAAAATAAAATAAATGAAATCATAACTAGGGCTTTTAGGAAGTGTCATTTATAAATTTTTGTCACTAGCACAAAGACTTTTTAAAGAAGTCAATATTATTAGATTCTTAATAGTATGCGTAGATCCAGTGTTAAATTTATTGAAATCATAGGCAGTGCTTTTCAGTTGTTATATCTACATTATTTTATTGATTTCTCTTAAGATGTTAACAGAGAGAAAGTTGATGTCATGGGCCTTCTGACTGGATTAATTGCTGCTGGAGTATTTTTGGTTATTTTTGGATTACTTGGTTACTATCTTTATATCACCAAGTGTAACAGGCAACAATATCCCAGGTAAGTACCAAGTAAAAATATTGAATTCACTATTATACATTCTATATTGTTATTTTAAAATGGATAAAAATGGCTGTCTATTTTTTAAATAAACATTTCACTCTGGAATAATTTTAGATATACAGGAAAGTTGCAAAGATCACACAGAGAGTTCCCATCCTTCAACCAGTTTCCCTCATTGTGAACATCTCACATTCCCATAGTACATTTGTAAAACAAACCAGCCAACACTGGTACATTACTATTAACTAAACTCCAGACCTTATTCAGATTTCACCAATTTTGTCATTCATGTCCTCCTTCTGCTCCAGGACCCAGTTAAGATATCGCATTGCATTTAGTTGTCATTGTCTCTCCAGTCTCCTCTGGTCTGTGACCGTTGTTTGGTTGCATAATTTAACACTTACATAAACAATGAAATGATGCTATTTTTAAGATCCTTCAAAAGAATACGAGAGGATTCACAAGTGTCAGCTTGATTTTTTAATATTTCCTTCTTAAGCAGGAAGTAGATACCAGTGTCCCCACATTGTTTCCAGAGGTTAAGAAGTCCCATCACTTCCTCTAAGTCACATCATTAACAGATCCAGCGATGTGGCAACCCAAATAGAAACAGTGTTATTAGCTTTTAAATTCAACCATGTTTACTGATACTTTAAATTAAATAAAAATCAATGAAATAAAATGGTTGCCACTTGAAGATAATAACCCATTAATAAAGCTTGATAAAAATTCATAAAAGCCATAATTGTTTGGACAATAGAACCTCAACATCCTCATTAAAATAAAAAGTTATTCCCTATTATCTCTATTATCTTCTCAGTAAGTGTAGGTGAGTAAGTGTAAAAATAACCTTATTCAAAAAAAAAATACCAGGTGCTAAACAGGGTATTCGAAATTGATGCTTACATATCCCTAGTCACACTTTCAAATTCTGGGAAAAGCTCATGATTGTAACCAGGTGACGAAAGGGTTATGGAAACAGTGGTGATGGTGGCACAACATTGTGAATTTAATTTATACCACTGAGTCACACACTTGAAAATGGTTAAAATGGCAATTTTATGTGATATATATTTTACCACTATAAAATTTTTTCTTTATGGTAAGAGTTTAGGGCAACAGACGTGGAATTAGATTCATCTATTGGAAGATAAAACTAAAACCATGGGGTGCCTGGCTGGCTCAGTCACTAGAGCATGCGACCCTTGATCTCAGGGTTGTGAGTTCGAACCCCACGTTGGGTGTAAAGATTACTTAAAAAAAAAAAAAAAAACTGAAGCCGCAAGAGTAGGCAAGTTCTCAGAGTGTAATGAAAGGACAGATGGAAAAGGACAGAGCCTTAAAGGGTACTCATAGCAAAGGTGCAGAAAGAAGACATGCCAGAATGAGGGCAGAGGACCGGGGCAACATAAATTGTAATTCTATCCCCAAGCTGGAATTCCTGAACAGCTCCCTGAGGCATTAACATGACCTGTGGGCATGGACAAAGGAGCTTGTCAGGGACCTCTGTAAATCCTGTAAAAATCTGAGAAATGAGAGAAATGAGGAAGAACTTGCCTAATTGTTCTTAAGCCACCATCTTTTAAGCTGGTTTTATTAACTTCCCTTATTTAACAGGTAGGAAATAAGCAAGGCCTTTCCATTTTCTGGGACTTTTGAGTAAAATTTTATTCAGTGTGGCTTTCTCTACAAGTCAGGGAGGAAGTCCTGGAAACTCTCAGACTAATGAAGATCTAGGCACAAGTTGTCTTTAGAGACTCTTCTTGCCTTTATCTCTCTTTTCCTCCCCATTCATAATGTCTCTCCAAAAAAGTTCATGTATACCCTCATGCTTAATAACTGTGCTCAGGGCCTGTGATAACACAGCCATTATTCAGTGTCCTCATGCATGGTATTTTCTTCTCTCTTCTCTGTGCTTTGCCTCACTTTTCTACTTTTCTGCACCACTCCATCTTCTTACCTTAGGCCTTTTTTCTGTGAAACCTTCTAGCTTCTTCCCTGCTGTAGGTTAGAAGCAGAATTCAAATGCACAATTCAAATGGCAAAGTAATGCCATTATTACGTATGTTTTCTGTGTATGTTATTGTAAAATTTAAAAACCCTGAATATCTCTTATTTTATTTTGTTTTAAGATTTTAGTTATTTATGGGGGGTGGGGGGCAGAAGGAGAAAGAGAATCTTAAGTAGACTCCACACTGAGTGCAGAGCCCAACGCAGGGGTTGATCTCACGACCCTGAGATCATGACCTGAGCCAAAACCAAGAGTGGGACACTTAACCAACTGAGCCACCCAGGTGCCCCTGAATAGCTCTTATTTTAAAAGCAAGATTAGGGGGCTCCTGGGTGGCTCAGTCGTTAAGAGTCTGCCTTCAGCTCAGGTCATGATTCCAGGGTCCTGGGATCAAGCCCCACATCAGGCTCCCTGCTCGGCGGGAAGCCTGCTTCTCCCTCTCCCACTCCCCCTGCTTGTGTTTCCTCTCTCGCTGTCTCTCTCTCTGTCAAATAAATAAATAAAAATCTTTTTAAAAAATAAATAAATAAAAGCAAGATTAGTTATACTTAATGTTAGTACAGTATAATGCTATACAGCTCACAGATATTTTTACATGTATTGTTTCACTTTGATCCTCAGAGCCACCCTTTGACTTGAGAGGACATTGAACACTAGGTTTATAAGACATCCTTTTATTTGGGGACTGACTTTTAAAAACTTACTAAAGTACTTTTCATCTATTATTCCAAGAAATTCTTCTAGCAGAGTTATTTGTTCTCTTTCTGTATTTTGCAACTCTGGAAGTGGAGGAAGGGTGAGGAAATATTTGAGAAAGAAAAGAGTAAAAAATAAGGTCATTGTCAAAAAAGTTTGCCTCATTCCTCTGTCAAAACATGTCAAAAAATGGGAAACAAGATCTTTTCATTTCTTAGTTCCTATATTTTATGGAGGAAAATAGGCATACTATGATGTTGTTAGTTTATTTGAGTTGTTATTCGTGTATACTTTCTGATATCAATCATTTAAGATGTGTGTAAGAAATCACTAGATTATTTAATAACTTTGATGTAATTATGATATTGTTTCTATATCTTATATTTGGAAGTCTACATGGAAGAGCTTATTTGTTCCACTAAAACATCTGTCTCTCCTGTTCCCTATAAGCAAACAAATAAAACTTTTCGTCATAAGTTAATGAATGTGGCAAGTGACTAGCCTACCAGGAATCTGTTCCAGATTTCTGACGGGGGAGGAATTGTGTTGAGCCGTCTAAGTAAACTTGTGATGGATGCTCTCAGTCACCCCCCAACTATTGAAGAGCTGACTATCCAGTTCCTAGATTTACACAGATCTTCTTCACTTCTCTCTCTGCAATCATCCTCTCTCCTTTCCTCCAGTTTCATATCTCATGATTACCTCCAAGGAAGAGTTGTTCTAAGTACAAATTGACTGCCTTAGTTTGGAAAGTTTACAGTATTTTGAGTCTACTTAACTGTCTCTTGTTGGGAAGAATATTGAAATATTGATGAGAAGTTGGGGATTACCTATGAATTTTAATTATCCTTAATTAGCCATAGTTCTAGGAACTTAATTTATGCATAAGTGCTTCATAGACAGCCAACTTTACAGTCTAAACAGATCGATTTACTAATGTTTAAATTATAATTCATAATTCAATAGTGAGAAGGGAAAACACAGGCTCAAAACACCAGACCCCTATTGCATTTCAATTTTCACTGGCTGGTGTAGCTGACAGAGTTTTGTGGAAATGGTGGGACTTGAGCAAGGCCATATATTTTTTTAATTATTGGCCTTAGGTCAACAGAGTGGGGAAAAGACAATAACCTGAGAAAGCAAACAACAGCAGTGAAAGCACAGAAGCAGGACAGAGAATTTATTGCACATACAGAAGAGTGTAAAGGGGGTACCTTGCAAGAGCAGAGAGCTGTGAAAAATAAGGTGAAGCCAGAATAAGGGAGGCTTTAAAAAGGAGGCATGGGAGTTGAACTTGACTCAGTGGAAAGTAGGCTGCAGGTTAGACATTTGCAGAGAAGAGGGATATGACAGAAGTGCTATTTAGGAGGGATGGACCAGGCAACAGGACTGCAGAGGAGAGAGACAGGCATCACCTGTCGTGATTATCTCTGTGACATCAGGATCCTTGGCTTGGAGTAATGCTGCCTTTCAACAAGAAAGGGTTTGGTTTCACATCATATTTTGAGAAAGTTCTCATTTAGGAGTGGGAGAAAAAGGGAATTAGCATGTTTTGAGTCCTTATTATAGTGTTGCAGACACTACTTAGATGCTTTACATATAACATTTTTTCTGAATCCACACAAAACAACTCTGTTGAGGTAGCTATTATTGTCCCCATTTTACTTCAAAGGGAACAGATAACTTGCTTTGGCCACATAGCTATGAAATGAGAGGATCCAGTTTCAGATCCATGACTGACTCCAAAGCTCTCGTTCTTTCCCCTATACCAAGACTCTTTCAGAGTATATGGGTAAAATAAAACTGTGGTTATATTAATAAATTGGGTTCAGGGGCGCCTGGGTGGCTCAGTCAGTTAAGTGTCTGACTTCAGCTCAGGTCACGTTCCCAGGATCCTGGGATCGAGCCCTGCTTCGGGCTCCTTGCTCCGCTGGATTCTGCTTCTCCCTCTCCTTCTGCCCTGCTGGAGCTCTCTGTCTCACTCTCTCTCTCTCAAATAAATAAAATCTTAAAAAATAAATAAATAACATAAATAAATAAATTGGGTTCAACTTTTATCAAAATCGTCAGTTGGGTTTTCTAATATTGCCATTTTAACCTAAAAATGCTGCCTTTCTAGACCTAAATGCTGTCTCTCTGTTTAGTTCTTCAGCCACCTACGTAAGAAGGGGGAGGCACACTCCCTCCATCATTTTCAGAAGACCTGAGGAGGCTGCCTTGACCCCGTCACCCCTTGCGGTGGAGGACACAGGATTACCTTCTTATGAACAGGCAGTGGCACTGACCAGAAAGCACAATGTTTCCCCGCCACCACCATATCCTGGGCCAGCAAAAGGGCTTCGAGTATTTAAAAAGTCTATGTCGCTCCCATCTCACTAGGCCCGCCATGGTGGTATCGGAGATTCCTGTTATTTGAATGGTTCCTTTTCCCCAAACCAAAGAGACATGTTACTTCAGCCCCTTTATGACAAACTGCAAGGAGCAAAGAAAGAATAAGCATGTGTATATGACACCACAGCAGTTCTGTTGGCATCTTGGACCTGAACTTGATCATTATCAGCCTGGTAAGAAACTCACCATTACCAGTTTGATAAGAAACTTGGACTCCATAGCTTTGCAGTAAAGAAGAGAGCACTTTTTTGTTTAACGGTTCAGAAAATCTGTGTTATGGATGTCATAGCTAGAACTGGTGAACTGTCTTTTGTACAGATAAAGTTTGTAGATTTCTTGTGTTGAATATTAAAAAAAAAAAAAAGAGTTTCTGATCATTAGATTATCCGAAGTCAGAATATTAGACCCACTCTTTATTAGGATTTCTTTGTGGTTGGAAATCTGTCACAAAATTGGACACTTCAGTATAAACTGGTGGCCTTAATATAATCACTTCGTTTTACATTTTAAATTATTGCATAGCATTCACCGTATTTTGTAGGTTTTAGTTGTTAACAATTGCTATCAGTCATGTTTTGTTATGGGAGTGGAGTAAGTAATTTAAAAGTCACTTGCTAGGGAGTGAGTTCTTCAGAGGGTACAGAGTTGCAATGGCAAGGATTTGCAAGGGTTGTTATACTATCAAATATATAGGCTTCAAATCTAGGAGTGACTAGAACTTGAAAAAGTTGCCCATGCTACTGATGAGTAGACACATCCATTTTCATTGCTAAATTATCTATATATAACTACATGTAATTTTTTATCTTGAAAATATGTTGAAGTTTATAAATAATAGTTCGAGAACCTAGAAAAATTAATTTACTTTCCTGCTATTAAAATAATACCAACTAAAGTTACCAGCAACCCCTTGTATCTCTTAATGTCTGGACCCAAAACACCATAAGGAATCATTTTAACCTATACTTTGTCTCTTCTTTTAATTGTATATATGACCAGTCTTCCTTAAGAATGTAGTAGAATATAAGCTATAAACCTCTGGAGGAGTGTGTTTGCACACATTTACGTGAGTGGGTATGGATGTAGATGTGAATTTATTTTCTCTTTGCAGGAACTCAAGAAATAACATACTCCTGAGAAATAAAAGAAAAAATTCTGTTCTTGTTGTTTTGCTAGGCATTGCATTTTCCTATTATTTAAGACCATTTGTAAAATTGTATTTTGTTTTATAATTTTTACAGAACTGAGACTAAAACCCACATATATTTGGTAATTCCTTCCAATTAAATGCTTAGAAAGTATAAATCATTACAATGTGTATGTGAGTGTTTATGTCTCTCTTTTAAGACAAGATTATCTTTTTTTTTTTTTAAGATTTTATTTATTTGACAGAGAGACACAGCAAAAGAGGGAACACAAGCAGAGGGAGTGGGAGAGGGAGAAGCGGGCTTCCCGCGGAGCAGGGAGCCTGATGCAGGGCTCAATCCCAGGACCCTGGGATCATGACCTGAGCCGAAGGCAGACGCTTAACGACTGAGCCACCCAGGCGCCCCTTAAGACAACATTATCTTAAGGCAGATATAAGCAATACCTTAATCATTACAGACAGCCAAACATTTTATCCTTCTAGATTTTGGGGTCTCTTCAGTTGCTTATCACAAAGAAATCATCTAGCAACATTTAGATATAATTAGGAAAGTGGTCTTTTTATTTTTTTAAAAGATTTTTAAGCGTGGAGCTTGAACTCAAAACCCTGAGTCACATGTTCCACTGACTGAGCCAGCCAGGCGCCCCAGGAAAAGTCTTTTTAAAGCCACCTACATTACCTATAAAAATTTTACCACTATGGGGCACCTGGCTGGCTCAGTTGATGGAGCATACAACTCTTAATCTTGAGGTCATGAGTTCAAGCCCCACTTGGGGTGTAGAGATTCCTTTAAAAAAAAAAATTACCACTAATCATACCTTGACTTTACATAAGGACTATTTTCTCATGTAACTTTACACTCTGCCCTTATTTTAATTCTCTTTAAGAGGTCAGAGGCAGGGGGTGCCTGGGTGGCTTAGTCGGTTAAGCGTCTGCCTTTGGCTCAGGTCGTGATCCCAGGGTCCTGGATCGAGCCCCGCTTCAGGCTTCCTGCTCAGTGAGGAGCCTACTTCCTCTCCCTCAGCAACCCCCCCCACCCCGCCCCAACTCATGCTCTCTCTCTTTGGCTCCACTCTCGCTCTCAAATAAATAAATAAAATCTTAAAAAAAAAAAGGTCAGAGGCAAACTCTACTTTCCTCACTTTGTAGCAATCAGACTAAGGCATAAAAGTATAACTTGCCCTAAATCTAACATCTTGGTGAGAGCTAGGTTTAGAAGAAGCAAGCACACTTTTCCAGGCCCATCTCATACCTATAGAATTATGCTATCTCAAATTATGAAGAACAGGGGGGCGCCTGGGTGGCTCAGTTATTAAGCATCTGCCTTCAGCTCAGGTCATGATCCCAGGGTCCTGGGATCGAGCCCCGCATTGGGCTCCCTGCTCCACGGGAAGCCTGCTTCTCCCTCTCCCACTCCCCTTATTTGTGTTCCCTCTCTCGCTGTTTCTCTGTCAAATAAATAAATAAAATATTTTTTAAAAAAATTATGAAGAACAGGGATCTTATTAATTCTAGGTCTGTATGAGAAATTTATGACCATCTGTCATTTATACGTAAATGTATATAGGTTTATATTACATATATATGTATATGTACATGTATTCTCACATACATGTATTTCTTAGGATGAATAGAAATATAAGACAGGGGCACTTGGCTGGCTCAGTTGGAGGAGTATGCGATTCTTGATCTCGGGGTCCTAAGTTCAAGCCCCACATTGAATGTACAGGTTACTTAAAGAAATATAAGACAGGATGAATCTCTTATTGAATCATAATTTGAAATATTCCTTGAACTTGGTTACTACCACTGACTCATAAGAGTCTAATTGCAAAGCTAGCCTTAGAACCTATAACAACCCCTCTCCCAGCAGTAGCCTAGATTTGTTAAATGCCATCACTTAGCATAAAACTGTTGCTCTAACTTGAATTAATCTAGAATTCATCATTAAGATTGTGAAATCACTGGTGTTTGTAGAACATCTATGTCGAGCTCATAATACTTTACACAAAGGAAAATGTGATATGAGACTATACCAAAATAAAAAGCCTCTATACAGCAAAGGAAACCATGAACAAAACAAAAAGACAACCTACTGAATGGGAGGTGTTTGCAAATGATACTCCAATAAGGAGTGAATATCCAAAATACATAAAGAGTTTATACAACTCAACACTGAACAATCAAATTTAAAAATGGACAGAGGGGAGCGCCTGGGTGGTTCAGTCGTTAAGTGTCTGCCTTCGGCTCAGGTCATGATCCCAGGATCCTGGGATCAAGCCCCGCATTGGGCTCCCTGCTTTGCGGGAAGCCTGCTTCTCCCTCTCCCACTCCCCCTGCTTGTGTTCCCTCTCTCGCTGTCTCTTTCTCTGTCAAAAAATAAATTAAGAAAAAAAAATGGACAGAGGAATTGAATAGACACTTTTCCAAAGGACATACAGATGGCCAATAGACACATGAAAAGATGCTCAACATCACTTATCATCAGAGAAATGCAAATCACAACCACAATGAGATATCACCTTATACTTGTCATGATGGCTAGTATCAAAAAGACAAGAAATAACAAGTGTTAAGGCTGTGGAGTAAAAGGAACCTTGTGCACTGTTGGTGGGGAATGTAAATTAGTGTAGTCACTGTGGAAAAGACTACAGAGGTTCCTCAAAAAATTAAAAATAGAAATACCAAACGATCCAGTAATTCCACTACTGGGTATTTACCCAAAGAAAATGAAAACACTAATTCAAAAAGATACATGCACCCCTATGTTTATTGCAGCATTATTTGTAATAGCCAAGACATGGGAGCAACACAGGTGTCTATTGACAGATGGATAAAGATGTGGTGTATATATAATGGAGTATCACTCAACCATAAAAAAAAGGTTGAGATCTTACCATTTATGACAACATGTATGGACTGAGGGTATTATGCTCAGTGAAATAAGTCAGAAGGAGAAAGACAAATACCATATGATTTCACTTACAGGTAGAATCTAAGAAACAGACTCTTAAATGCAGAGAACAAATTGATGGTTGCCAGAGGGGATGTGGGTGCAGGGAATGGGCAAACTAGATAAAAAGGATTAAAAGGATAAACTTCTAGTTATAAAATAAATAAGTCACAAGGATGAAAAGTACAGCATAGGAAATATAGTCAGTAATATTTAATAACATTGGTGACAGATGGTTACTACAGTTATCACAGTGAGCAGCGAGTAATGTATAGAATTGTTGAACCAATGTGTATACCTGAAACTAATATAACATTGTATGTTAATTCCATAACTGGTAAATGCTTATAATGATTGAAAGGAAAATATCTTAATATAAAGTTATTGACATGTATTTATTTCTGTCTCATTCACCGTTCTGCATTCCTGTTGTACTTTTGGTAGTGGATTTTTTTGTTTGCTCTGTTTTGTTTGTGCTTCTTCCCCAAGCAACTGATTAGTGTTAACCATTAATTCTATTTTGAGGGGCACCTGGGTGGCTCAATCGTTAAGCGTCTGCCTTCAGCTCGTCATGATCCCAACGTCCTGGGATCGAGCCCCGCATCAAGCCCCACATCGGGCTCTGCAGGGAGCCTGCTTCTCCCTCTCCCACTCCCCTTGCTTGTGTTCCCTCTCTTGCTGTGTCTCTCTCTGTCAAATAAATAAATAAAATCTGGGCGCCTGGGTGGCTCAGTTGGTTAAGCGACTGCCTTCGGCTCAGGTCATGATCCTGGAGTCCCGGGATCGAGTCCCACATCGGGCTCCCTGCTCAGCGGGGGGTCTGCTTCTCCCTCTGACCCTCTTCCCTCTCGTGCTCTCTGTCTCTCATTCTCTCTCTCTCAAATAAATAAATAAAATCTTTTTTAGAAATAAATAAATAAATAAAAATAAAAATGTTTACCTAACAGTTTAAGAGTTTAAGGCAATCCAATACAATATATCAGTATTTTCATTATCTGAAAAAAGCAACCCACTTTTTTTGAATGCACATTTTCCTATAGCCATCATATTTTGGTTTTAATGGATTTCCTATTAAAGACACTTTAATACATGTGAATAAACTTTATACTAAATAACAATCTGTTGCTTGTTTCTTTTTTTTTTAATTTTATTTATTTATTTGAGAGAGAGAGTATGAGCAGGGAGAATGGCAGAAGGAGAAGCAACCTCTCCATTGAACAGGGAGCCCGACACGGAGCTCGATACCAGGGTCCCGGGATCATGACCTAAGCTGAAGGCAGACACAACGACTGAGCCAGCCAAGCCCCTCTATTGCTTGTTTCAATTAAACATTCTTCTTACATACATACAGGGTCCTGGGATCGAGTCTCACATCGGATTCCTTGCTCAGCAGGGAGGCTACTTCTCCCTCTGCCTGCCGCCTCCCCCTGCTTGTACTCACTTGCTCACTCACTCTCTCTCTGACAAATAAATAAATAAAATATTTTTAAAAATAAAATAAAATATTTTAAAAAAGTAATACTAAGTATCATGCACGTAAATAAACTCTGGTTATTATTAAATATTACTTCATGTTAAACACTTAAACCACCTTAAATTTTTTTAGATCCAATTGAGTTATACACAAATGTTAATATTTATACTCCTTAAAGGGAATGAGAAGACAAGCTAGTTACTAGGAGAAAAATTTGCAAAAGATACATCTGATAAAGGACTGCTGTCCAGAGACCCCTGGGTGGCTCAGTCAGTTAAATGTCTGACTCTTGATTTTGGCTCAAGTCATAATCTCAGAGTCATGGGATCGAGCCCTGCGTCAGGCTCCGTGCTCAGTGCGGAGTCTGCTTGTCTGTCTCCCCTCTGCTCCTCCCCCCGCTCTCTCTCTCAAATAAATAAAATCTTAAAAAAAAAAAAAGATTGTTGTCCAAATTATACAAAGAACTCTTAAAATTCAACAATAAGAAAACTAACAATCAGATTTTTAAAATGGGCAAAAGACCTGAACAGACACCTCACCAAAGAAGATGTATGGATGACACGTAAGGAGGTCAACATCGTATGTCATTAGAGAATTGCAAATGAAATCAACAAAGAGTTACCATTACACAACTATTAAAATGGTCAAAATCTATAGCACAAATACTAAATGTTGGTGTGGATGTGGAGCAGCAGGAACTCTCATTTATTGCTGGTTGAAATACAAAATGGTACACTTTCAGACAGTTCAGCAGTTTCTTAGAAAACTATTCTTACCATTTGATCCAGCAATCATGCTCCTTGGTTTTTACCCAAATGAGCTGAAAACTTACATCCACACAAAAACCTGCAAATAGATGTTTATAGCGGCTTTACTTATAATTGCCAAAACTTGGAAATAGCAAAGATGTCCTTCAATAGGCAAATAAACCATGGTACTTTAAGATAATGGAATATTATTCAATGCTAAAAAAACAATGAGCTATCAAGCCATGAAAAGACATGATGGAAACTTAAATGCATGTTACTAAGTGAAAGAAGCCAATCTGAAAAGTCTACATACTGTATGATTCCAATTATATGATATTCTGGAAAGGCAAAACTACAGGAATAGTACAAAGATCAGTGGTTGTCAGGGATGGGGGTGCATATTTGGAGCAGAGGGTATTTCAAGGACAATTAAACTACTCTGTAGGATACTATAATGGTGAATACATTTCATTGCATGTTTGTCCAAATCCATAAGTTGCACAACACCAAGAGTGAACTGTAAGGTAAACTGTAGACTTTGGGTGATAATGATGTGTCAGTGTAGGTTCATCTATTAAAACAAATGTACCACTGTGGTGTAGGATGTTGATAGTGGGGGATATCGTTCATGGATGAGGGACAGAGGGTATTAGGAACTCTCTCTACTTTCCAATTGATTTTGCTCTGAACCTAAAACTGCTCTAAAAAGTAAAGTTTATTAATAGAAAAAAATAATTTTAAGACAAAAAGTTTTCCTAGGGCCAATTGAAAGTTTTTTAAATATTTTTTTATATGCTCTTGAAGATTAGGGAAAAAAGAATGAATTGGTTTAGTAATTATTTTTGTGTAATATTTTACTAGGCAAAGCCTATAAGTGAAATGTCAAGGGGTTCAAAAATATATCCTAGATTTTGATTCCTGTGAAAAGATTGTGAAAGAAACACAAACTTTTAAAAACTACTTGGAATAGCCAATCATCTATCTAAAGGAAGAACCTGTCCAAACAGTTCAGTGAATATGTTTCCAAGAGACACTGATTTGGAGAAGGAGAATTTTGGGGACTAAAACCATAAAGATTTCAGAGGTGGGGTTGATTAGAGACACCCTTACAAAGTTAACGCAGTATTATCTACAATCCATTGCTGACTCCAAGCATATTTTTCTCATTCAGGGACTGGAAGAAATGATGTAGGGGTCATTGTTAAATTGGTTAAGAGTCAGGTCTAAAAGACAGAAGCCTGGGGGTGCCTGGGTGGTTTAGTTGTTTAAGTGTCTGACTTCGGCTCAGGTCATGATCCCAGGGTCCTGGGATCTAGCCCCGTGTTGGGCTCCCTACTCAGTAAGGAGTCTGCTTATCCCTCTCCCTCTGGTCCTGCCTCCACCCCACGCAAGCTCACTCTCTTTCTTTCTCTCTCTCTCAAATAAATAAAATCTTTAAAAGATAGAAGCCTGAACTCTAGTTCAGTCACAAAAACTTGAGGTGCCTGGCTGAACTCTAGAAAGTCACAAAAACGTGGCATGCCTGGCTGACTTAAGAGTATGTAGACTCTTGATCTTGAGGTTGTGAGTTTGAGCCCCATGTTGGGCATAGAGTTTACTTAAAAAAAGAAAAAAAAGGGGGGCACCTGGGTGGCTCAGTCATTAAGCATCTGCCTTCGGCTCAGGTCATGATCCCAGGGTCCTGGGATTGAGTCCCACATCGGGCTCCCTGCTCCGCGGGAGGCCTGCTTCTCCCTCTCCCACTCCCCCTGCTTGTGTTCCCTCTCCCGCTGTCTCTCTCTCTGTCAAATAAATAAATAAAATCTTTAAAAAAAAAAAAAAAGGAAAAAAGAAAGTCACAAAAACTTGATTCAAATTGGCCTATAAAACTGGGAAGTCTGGGGTAAGAACAGTCCTCAGGGACTTGATATCTCAAGTTCTTCTAAACTAAGCTTGTCTGTGTTAATACTTTCTTATTGCACACAGACTTTCTCCATATCAAGGGAAGGGTACAGCCACAGGCTTATATCATACCTGCTCAGTGGCGGCAGAGAAGAGATTCTCTCTCACCCAAAGCCCGCATATTAAATAATTGGCCAAGTGTGGGTCATAGGACCTCACCTGGTCCAATTCATGAGCAGGTCTGGTTCATGTGCCCAACTTGGATCCAGAGTGCAGCATATTACGACTGGAAGTTGGGGAGAGACAGTTCCCCAAAAGATGTTGATGCTGTTACTAAATCAGGGGCAAATAGATGTTGAGCAGGAAAACCAGCAGCTCTCTACATCACACATTGAAAATCATCCTAAGACAGGTGGCAAGACCAATCAGAATTTTTTGTACCAAACCAGATGAGGTGGGGCAGGGGCTAACCAGTCCAAAACCAAGAGGACGGTCAGAAAGAAGGTTAGTGGACGGTAGCCCTAACCTCATTTACATTTCAAACCCATTAACACTTGTTGAGCACTGTAGTGGTTTTCTTTTGCTGCATAACAAAGTACCATGAATTTAGTGCCTTCAAACAACACACATTTATCATCCCACAGTAACTATGAGTCAAGAGTGTAGGCACAGCTTACCAAGGTCCTCCTCTCTGGGTCTGACAAGAATGCAGACAAGGCGTTGTGCAGGCTGCAGTCTCCTCTGCAGGCTTCCATGCAGAAGAATCCACTTTCAGGCTCACTCAGGTTGTTGACAGAATTCATTTCCTTGCCTCTGTAGGACCGAAGGCCCTTATAGGCTGGAAGCAAAAGGCCAACCTCAGCTCCAGAGTCTACTTGCAGTTTCTAGAAGCTGCATGCAGCTCCCTCCACATAGGATTCATCAACATGGCCACTTTATCAAGCCGGCAAAGAGATCTCTGGAGTGTGTCTGTTAGCAAAAGGAAGCCTTATGTCATGTAACACAATCCTAACAGTGATATCCCATTTCCTTTGCTATTTTCTATTGGTTAGAACAAAGTCACAAGTTCCACCAGCACGCAAGGGGAGGAGAGTTACAAAAGTGTGAATACCAGAAGTGAGGAATCTTTCTCCATATCCCTTGATATGGAGAAAGGATCACCTTAGGGTCTGTATATCATTAGTATCTATCATGTGCCAGTTCCTAGGCCAAATACTTTCTCTATGATCTTTCAGTTCATATAAGCATGTCAAAAAGTCTTTCAGTTATAAAGTGTTATTAAATGTGAGTTAACACCTAATACTAATATTATGTTTCTTGAAAACTTTGTAATGTCTCATTATTTACCATTTTCATTCATCTTGTTCATTTTCCTACAATTCCTAACATGAAATAGTCTTGAACAGGTTAAAGTGCTTATATCAAAGACAATAACATTGAGAACAATTTCGGGAAATTGGTCCTATTCCTTAGCCAAGGCATACCCAAAGGAAAAGGAACTAAAAAAGAGTGGGTTAAACTCTGTCCTTGCATGCCTCTGAATGTCTTCTTTACTCTCACATTTAATTTATAATTTGGCTGTCTGTAGTATTCTAGGTTAAAAATCATTTTCCTGGGGCGCCTGGGTGGCTCAGTAAGCGTCTGCCTTCGGCTCAGGTCATGATCCCAGGGTCCTGGGATTGAGCCCCACATCAGGCTCCCGGCTCGGCGGGAAGCCTGCTTCTCCCTCTCCCATTCCACCTGCTTGTGTTCCCTCTCTCGCTGTGTCTCTCTCTGTCAAATAAATAAAATCTTTAAAAAAAAAAATCATTTTCCTTGGCATATTACAGATATTGCTCTAATATCTTCTAGCATCTGATTGCCATTAAGAATTCTAATAGCTTTCTTGGCCTATCTGGCTAGTTTAGTCGGTGGAGCATGCAACTCATGATCTCATCTCAATGTCATGAGTTTGAGCCCCGTGTTGGGTGTAGAGATTACTTAAAAATAAAATCTAAAAAAAAAAAAAAAAGAATTCTAATAGCATTCTGATTCAATTCTTTTACATATGACCTTTTATTTCCAATAGAACCTTCTTTTCCCCTTAAACAATGAAAATTTATTTTCTTACAATTCTGGAGGATAGAAGCCTTGAGAACAAGATCAGCAAGTTGATTTCCTCTGAGGCCTCTCTACTTGGCCTGTAGATGGCCCTCCTCTCTCCACATTTATATGTGGCCTTCCCTTGGTGTATGTCTGGGTCTTAATCTCCTCTTCTTAGAAGGACACCAGTCATATTGGATAAGGGCCCAGCCTGCCCTCATGTTTCCTTAACTACCTCTGTAAAGACCCGATCTTCAAATCTAGCCATATACTTAGGTACTGAGGGTCAGGGCTTCAACATCTCAATTTTGGGAAGATATAATTCAGCCCATAACACTGGTCTCCCTGTTTTTGTTCTTGTCTCCTAAAGTCTAGTTTCCATCCTCTGGAAACTTTTCAAATTTTTTTACCCCTGGTGATCAATTCACAATTGTGAGCCTTGATATGTTTTTATTGTTCATGGCATCTAATGCCTCCTTTCAAAATAGAAATCTGTGTCTCCCCCCACCCCCCAAATCTAGAAAATCTTCATGTGTAATTTTTGGCAACTTTCTTCTACTTGCTTCTTCTACTTTTTGTGTGATTCCTAATGGTTGAATATTGGACTTCCTTAATTGATCCACTTTTTTTCCATTTATTTATCCAATTATTCTACTTTCTGCATAAGTTCTTATACTTTAATTTTCAACTCTATTAAATTTTAACTTTTTAAAGATTTTTTTTAAGACATTTATTTATTTGAGAGAGAGAGAGAGCATGAGCGGGGCGGGGCAGGCTGAGGAAGAAGGAAAGAGAATCTCAAGCAGATTTTGGCTGAGCGTGGAGCCCCACAAGGGGCTCAATCCCACAACCCTGAGATCAGGACCTTAGCTGAAGCCAAGAGTTGGACACTTAACCAACTGTGCCACCCAGATGCACCTAACTTTTTAAAGATTTTATTTTTCTATGTAATCTCTATTCCCAATATGGGGCTTGAACTCACAACCCTGAGGTCAAGAGTCACATGCTCTACTGACTGAGCCAGCCAGGTACCCCAAATTCTAACTTTTTTAGATTGTCATTGTTTTCAGTTTCCAAGAGCATTCTTTTATTCTCTGATTTTTTTTACATTTATAACAACTTTACTGGTGTATAATTTACATGCCATAAAATGAAGCCATCTTCGGTGAGCAGTTCCACAAATTTTAACAAATGTAGACACCAATGTAACAATCATCCCAACTGCAGAAATTGCCCATCTGTCCCTTTACTGTCAGTTTCCTGACTCTCCAGCCTCAGGCTACCTGTGATCTACTTTCTATTAGTATAGATTAGTTCCACCTATACTAGTATTTTACATAAATCAAATCATATGACATGTATTCTCTAGTGTCTGGTTTCTTTCATTCGGCAGAATATTGTTGCATATATTAGTAGTTTGTTTCTCTTTATTGTCGAATAGTATTTTATTGCATTGATATTTATTTATTCACTTGCTGATGAGCATTTGCGAATAAAGCTACTATGAACATTCATATATGAGTCTTGGTGTGGACTTATACTTCCAATTCTTTGGGGCAAATACCTAGGAGAAGAATTGCTGGTAATAGGCGGGTGTATGTTTAACTTTATAAGAAACTACCAAATTGTTTTTCAAAGTGGTGGAACCATTTTACACTCCCAGCAGGAATGTATGAAGGTTCCGATGGCTCCACATCCTTGCTAATGCTTGCTATTACCAGTCTTTTAATTTTATGCACTCTGGTAGGTGTGCTGTGGTATTTCATTGTAGTTTTAATTTGCATTTTCCTGATGACTGATGATATTGAGTATCTTGTTATATGCTTATTAGCCATTCATGTAACTTATTTTGTTAAGTATTTGTTCAAATCTGTGGCCATTTTTTAAATTGGCTTGTTTATCTTCTTACTTTTGAGTTAAAGGGTTCTCTATATATTCTGGATATAAGTCCTTTATCAGGTATGTGCTTAGCAAATATTTTCTCTTAGGTCATGGCTTGCCTTTTCATTTTCTTAACAGTGTCTTTCAAAGAGTAGAAGAGTCCAATTATCAGCTTTTCTTTTAATGTTCATTGTTTTTTATGTTTGTGTATCTTGCCAAGAAATTATTATCTGCCCCACAGTTGTAAAGATTTCCTTCCATATTTTCTTCTAGACATTTTATAGTTTCAGCTTTTATATGTAGGTCTAATTTTTTGTGTATATGAAGTTAGGATCAAGATTCCTTTTCCCCCCGCATTGAACTATGCAGTTGTTTTAGCAGGATTTTTTTAAAAGGTTATCTTTTCCCCCACCAAATTATCTAAATTATCTCAGAGACTTTGTTGAAAATCAATTGATGATATATTTGGGGTTCTCTGTTTTGTTCCATTGGTCTCTGTCTATCCTTATGCCAATACCATACTGTTTTGCTTGCTGTAGCTTTGTAATAAGTCTTGAAAATAAGTAGTATAAGTCCTCCAACTTTATTCTTTCCCTGAATTACCTTGGCTATTCAAGGTACTTTGCATTTCCATATATATTTTAGAATCAGGTTGTCAACTTCTAAATCAAAATACTTCTGGGAATTTTACTGGGATTGCATTAAATTTATAGAAAAATTTAAAGAGAATCAACCTCTTAATGATGGTGAGTCCTCCAGTACATAATATATTTTTCAAGATATTGAGGCCTTATACATTTCTCTTAGCAATGTTCATAAGTCCCAGTGTATAAGTGTTGCATATATTTTATTAAATTCACCTTTAAGTAGTTCATGTATTTTTATACTATTCCAAATGGTATTTTAAAAATTTAATTTCCAACTCCTGGGTATATACCCAAGAGAATTAAAAATATACACTCACACAAAAACTTGTGTACAAATATTCATAGCAGCATTATTCATAATAATCAAAAAGTGGAAACACCCAAATGTCCATCAACTTATGAATGAATACACAAACGTGGTGTGTCCATGCCATGGAATATTATTCAGTGGTAAAAAGGCACAAAACATGGATATATGCTACAACATGGATGAACCTTGAAAACATTATGCTAAGTGGAAGAAGTTAGACACAAAAAGGCCACACATAGCAGGGGCCGCCACTCTTGAAAACAGTATGGAGGTTCCTAAAAAAAAAAAAAATAGAACTACCCTATGACCCAGCAATTGCACTACTAGGTATTTATCCAAAGGATACAAAAATACTGGTTCAAAGGGGCACACACACCCCAATGTTTATAGCAGCACTATCAACAATAGCCAAACTATGGAAGAGTCCAAATGTCCATGAACTGATGAATGGATAAAGAAGATGTGGTTTCCATAAACAATGGAATATCACTCAGCCATCAAAAAGAATGAAATCTTGCCATTTGCAACGACATGGATAATGCTACAGTACATTATGCTAAGTGAAATAAGTCAGTCAGAGAAAAACAAATACTGTATGATTCCACTCATGTGGAATTTAAGAAAGAAAACAGATGAACATAGGGGAAGGGGAAAAAAAGAGAGGGAAATAAACCATAAGAATCTCTTAACTATAGAGAACGAACTGAGAGTTGATGGAGGGAGGTGGACAGAGGATGGGCTAGTGGGTGATGGGCATTAAGGAGGGCACTCGTTGTGATGAACACTGGTGTTATTTAGTGATGAATCACTAAATTCTTCTCCTGGAGCCAATATAACCTTATATGTTGACTAACTAGAATTTAAATAAAAACTTGAAACAAACAAGCAAAAAGGCCACACATAGTATATGATTCCATTTATGTGAAATGTCCAGAATAGGCAAATCCAAAGAGACAGCAGATTAGAGGCTATCAGGGGCTAGAGGATAGAGGGCCTGGGGAGTGTTTGCCGATGGATCTGAGGGATTTTTGGGGAGGGAAATAAATGTT